AGCTTGAGAAATGCTGAGCGTGTTCTTCCTTTTTGGTTTTCTGACTCCAGATCTTTGCACATTTTGTTGTAATATTTGACTTTGTCTTCTCAAGCTGACCTTTGAAATTTTCTGTTCAGCTCTTGGACCTCCTCATTTCTTCCCTTTGCTTTAGCATCTCTACACTGGAGAGCAAGTTTCAGTGTCCCTTCTGACATCTACGTGTATTTGAGTTTTTCCTTCTTTCCTGTCTTCTTAGTGACATTTTGCTTTCTTCCTGTATGATGTTCTTGATGTCATCCCACAACTTTTCTAGTCTTCAGTCTTTAGTGTTTAATGTATCAAATCTGTTCTTCAGATGATCTCTGAATTCAGGTGGGATATATTCAAGGTCATTTCATAGTAGCCTGCAAATGTTCACAGAAGCATTACTCCTAATTGCCAAAAAGTAGCAAAAATCCAAATGTTCACGTGATTAAATTAACAAAATGTGGTATATTTATACAATGGAATAATTTCCAGTAGTAAAAGGAATAAAGTACTGCAATATGCAAAAACATAGATAATAAGTCTGAAAAACATTAGACTGAGTGAAAGAAGCCAGGCACAAGGGACAAATATTTTGTTTATGTTAAATGTACAGAAGAGGCAAATCCATGGAGACAAAAAGTAGATTAGTGGGTGCCAGAGTCTAAGGGGGAGGAGGGATGAGGTTTTTTGTTGAGGTGGGGGCAGGTGATGAAATAAATGTTCAAGAATTAAGTAATGGTGTTACTTGTGCAACCGTCTCACTGAATTGTATGCTTTAAAGTAGTGATTTTGGGTGTGGTTTTTTTTTGGTATTTGAATTTAGAAAACTCCCACAGAGCCCATGTCTGACTTCCCCTGGTTTCACAAGGGAGAAGGAGAATCAGATTGAACATCAGCCCGAGGCAGATCCCTGTGAAGCAGAGGTCAGACATGCCTCTACCCTGCAACCTGCTTTATTCTGACAACGGCCATCCCTCCCCCATCGCTTTCTGCTTCACATCTGGATCCGTATCCGTTGCAGTGGCCACACAGAATTCATAGACAGTACTCATGATTATGGGGTTTGTCAGGGAAGTGAACAAGGTGCAATTCAGGAGCAGAAACTAGTCAGGAGGCAGCAGTTTTCCAGTCAGGGACGCCTCTTCTCTGCTGTACACCTCACTCGTGTTTGGATCTCTTAGCCACATGGCCCTTCGGCCTCTGCCCTACTCAGCAAGTATCACAGAGCTCCTTTAACTAGTCGGTAAGTGCCCAACAGGCACATTCGGCAAGGCAGCCTCCTGCCCATAGGCACCAAAGCCTGCAGTTGCTCATTCGCCCCATGCTCCTTTGCTGTTGTCACTTTTCCAGGTAGGGCTCTCACACTCTGCTCATGTCTTCTTTCTTGATGATCCTGGGATCATCTGAGAGGCTCATTTTAAACTTGCTGGGATGGCAAAACAAACCAATCCTGCGTTAGAGTCCTGTATACCCTATTTGCATGTTCCCACCCAGTCATTTGACGAGAGTTGGGAGTCCTGGTTTGGCGGTTCAAATCTGCCACCTGCTCCTTGGAAACATTATACAAGCTCACTACGAGTCAGAAAGGAGTTGACTAATGACACAACACAAGAAGACTTTGGATAGAACAGCAAAGTAATTGCAAGGTACCACAGAATTGTATCTCAATTGTAAACCAACAAGTTTGCCAACCTTTGGCCTCAATCATGAATTTAATTATGTAACAATGCATTTGCCAGTTTCAAGATTGGAAAAGTCCCTGAGGCTGTACAATGAAGAGGCTTCTCCAGTTCCTTCCCCTGCTGTTCCCTTTACCTGGATGCAACCACTATGTTAATTGCATTAATTAATATTAATATAGCCTTATTGGTCACAGTAGTATTACTCTGAAATCAATCATTTTATCATCAATGTATTTTTCTAATCCTTATGCTTCATTTGACGACAAAGCAATCTTTAACAGTGACTTTTATTGAAAATTCACAAGCCTGCTGTTGCGCTGTAGGATAAATTCTAGACTGCTAACTGCAAGGTTGGTGGTTCAAACCTACCATTTGCGTCTCAGAAATCCTGTACAGGGTCACTATGAGTGGGAATCGACTCGATGGCACTTGAAAACCAACAAGCATTTAGAAAATTACAGAGATCGTAAGTGGGTAGTCCATGAATTTCACAAAGGGAACACCGATGTATGCAATCAGCACCCACATCAAGAGCAGTAAGCCCTTGCCTGCTTGCTTCCAGTTACCCTCCCAGGGTTGCTAGTGTCTGACTTGTATTTCAAGAGACCAGTGGGTGGAATCCTCACCCTGCTCTAAGGAGATCCAGTTTAGTCTGTAATGACTCAAATGATGTAGCTCCACTGGGTTTTTTTCATGATAAGTTTCTAGTGTAATGGCCCTGTGACTGCTGTCAGTAATGGACACTGGTATTGGGGCTTGGTTGGCTCCCATTTAGTAACTTCGTTTTTGGATTTTACCTGTTGGGAAGGCAGATTTTGAGCTACCCATGTAAGTGTCAGGAGCTCAAACCCTCTCTACAAAAAGATTATAGCATTGGCAGAGCTGGAAGGAGGTTGCATCAGCAGTTGAAAGGCCTGTCAGCAAAACTACAACATCACTGGGAGAGCAGGAAATGCCTATGAGCGTCCAGGCCCATGCAGATCTTCCCAGAGCTCTTGGCCCTCTGTCCTTCCAGGTTCCTGTAAAGATTGAGCCTCAGAAACTCAGAAATAGATTCAGGGGCAATGGGTGTCCTCTCAGAGGTCATCCCTTGCCTGGTTCATGATCCTGCCTACAGACTGTATTGCTTGTCCTAATCTCTTTTTGTATCCCAAAGGTGATTGGCTCAAAACATACCCTACTTACCTCTTCACAAAGAAAACCCATTACCAAATGAGATTATAACCCAAGTATTGTTGTTAAGTGCCGTTGAGTTGGTTCCGACTCATGGTGACCCTGTATAGGGTTTCTAAGGAGCAATTGGTGGGTTTGAACCTGTGGTTCCCAATCCAGTGCTTATCCTACAGCACCACACACACAGGTATTGGGGTAAGGATTAAAACACATCTTTTGCTGGGGTACAGTTCAGTCCGTAGCAATGGTCAATACTACTAGGCTTTTCCATCTTTGACAATCAGAGAGGTGAAAAGTGCCATTTCAGCGTAGTTTTGGTTTTTCAAAAAGTGTTAAGATGTACATCACACACCATGCATCATATTAATCATTTCCAAGTGTATAATTTGGTGTTAAGCAGTGCACTCACTATGTCGTGCAGCCATCACTACCACTAAACTCCAGAGCTTTTTCAGCACTCCCGACAAACTGTTCCCCATCTTGGAGTTTTCATCTCATGCAACTTTTCTTGTGAGTTAAATTGAGCATCTTTTTGATGTTTAAGAGCTGTTAAATTTCACTTTCTTTGAACTGCCTGCCTGCTGGTACTCCTTTGCTCTTTTGTATAGTTGTTCTTTCTCATAAAGGAGCCCTGGTGGTTAGTGGGTAAAGTGATTGACTGCCAAGTGGAAGGTCAACAGTTCGAGCCCACCAGCCGTTCCATGGAAGGAAGATGTGGTTGTCTGCTTAGGTAAAGCTTGACAACCTTGGAAACCCTGTGGGGCAGTTGTACTTTTTCTTACTGGGTCACTGTGAGTCAGAATCGATTACAGGGCAAGGGGTTGATCTGTTTTGTTCTTTTGATAGTGATTTATAGGGGTTCTTTCTATGTTTAGGGATAGTTGTGCAGTGAGCTGTGACTCACGGTTACTTGGGTGTTGACTTGGTGTTTTGGTTCAGTTTATGGAGCAGACAGCTTTATTAATGTCTTTGATGGTTTCTGAGTTTGGAGTCTTTTTAAACGAGAACTTTCGTACCTTAATATGATTTTTAAATTCTCCTGTATTTCCTTCTCTTTTGTGGTTTTATTCTTAAATCCAGTATAAACCTTTGATTCATCTGCCATGTGTGTATGTGTATATTTTAAGATACGAGGTCTGGATCCAACCCAATTTATTTTTCATCTGGCTTCCCAGTGGTCCCAACACCATTTATTAATTCATCTTTCCCCCATACTTGAAACATTGCCTTTATCATAATGTTAAATGTTTTTGTATCTGGAGGATTGACATCGTTGTGATGTTGAGCTTCCGAGCTATAGGATTCCACTTTTTCAGGACTTCTGGCATGTTCCTTAGTAGTTTACATGACATTTCCTCATGTAAACATTGAAAGTCTTCCATTTTTTGCTAGGCATTTCCTGACCCTCCAGGAACTGACTAAATGCCCATTTGTGAATGTGGGTGGGTGGGAATGAGCCTTAAATCACATCTAAAGTTTCTGCATCCTGTCCCCCACCCTCACCCCCAAGTCATCTCCTTTCCCTTCTCCTGGACCTTTGCCTCCCAGATACCATCCGGAAGATGAAAAACGATTTCCGGAAGATGGAGGACGAGATGGACCGGCTGGCGAACAATATGGCCGTGATCACGGACTTCAGCGCGCGTATCAGTGCCACACTGCAGGACCGCCATGAGCGCATCACCAAGCTGGCAGGTGGGCGCCGTCCCAGGCCCCCAGACCCCCCCCCCCCATGCAGGCCAGGTGCTAGTATTACCTTACCAACCCCCTCCCACACCCCCAGGAGTCCACGCGCTGCTCCGGAAGCTGCAGTTTCTCTTTGAATTACCCTCGCGCCTCACCAAGTGTGTGGAGCTGGGCGCCTACGGGCAGGCGGTGCGCTACCAGGGCCGAGCGCGGGCCGTGCTGCAGCAGTACCAGCACCTGCCCTCCTTCCGCGTCATCCAGGATGACTGCCAGGTCATCACGGCTCGCCTGGCACAGCAGCTCAGACAGCGCTTCAGGTGGGCGTGCCCTCAGTCCTCAGCCCAGCCCTACTCCAGGGTCCTGCCCCCCTGGCCTCAGAGCCCCACCCACGCTGAGTGCCCACCGTGCATGCCAGCCCTTCCGGGAACAGTGGCCCTGCCTTACATGTACCTGTCTCCCACTATCTCCCGTCTTCCTCGCCAGCCCCCCTGCTGCCCCCTCAGCTGCCCAGGTCCCTGCCCCTCACTGGCATCTGCTGCCACAGGGAGGGCGGCTCAGGCACCCCTGAGCAGGCTGAATGCGTAGAGCTGCTGCTGGCCCTCGGCGAACCTGCCGGGGAGCTGTGTGAGGAGTTCCTGGCGCATGCCCGCGGGCGGCTAGAGGATGAGCTGCGGAGCCTGGAGGCGGAGCTAGGGCCCTCCCCGCCGGCGCCTGATATCTTAGAGTTCACCGACCGTGGGGGCAGCGGCTTCGTGGGTGGCCTCTGCCAGGTGGCCTCAGCCTACCTGGAGCTGTTTGAAGCCCAGGGCCCAGCAGGGGTAGAGAAGCTGACAGCCTTCGCCAAAGACCTCGGCAGCCGCTACTTTGCACTGGTGGAGCGGCGGCTTGCTCAGGAGCAGGGTGGCAGTGACAACTCGCTGCTGGTGCGGGCGCTGGACCGCTTCCACCGGCGTCTGCGGGCCCCTGGGAACCTGTTAGCTGCCGCAGGGCTCTCCGAGGCAGCCACGAAGATTGTGGAGCAGGTGGCCCGCGAACGCCTGGGCCACCTTCTGCAGAGCCTTCGGGCCGCCTTCCTGGGCTGTCTGACTGATGTGCGACAGGTGCTGGCTGCGCCGCGCCTGACTGGGAAGGAAGGCCCTGGGCTGGCCGAGTTGCTGGCCAATGTGGCTAGCTCCATTTTGAGCCACATCAAGGCCTCGCTGGCTGCTGTGCACCTCTTCACTGCCAAGGAGCTGTCTTTCTCCAACAAGCCCTACTTCCGGGTATGGCCCGCCCCTGGACACTCTTAGGTATCCTATGGTAGCAGCCCTCAGCAACCTTGACCATGCTGGGGGACCGGGAACAGGTAGCCCAAGACTCGGGGCCCTGTGGCTCTCTTCTCAGGTTAAACAGCATTGGGAAGACCCGAAGGGGTGTTTGTATGGGGGCTGCAAACAGGGAGGCAGGATCTTCAGTGCCAGCTCTGCCCTTCTTTCCCCTACCCTCATCCTCACAGTGGGAGGTGGGGGGGGGAGCTACACGTGGAGGGTGGAGGGGTCAGGTCACTTAGGGCCCCCCAGCAGAGGGTCACCAGCAGTCCCTCCTCACAGGGTGAGTTCTGCAGTCTGGGCGTCCGGGAGGGCCTCATCGTGGCCTTCATCCGCTCCATGTGCCAGACGGCTCAGAGCTTCTGTGAGAGCCCCGGGGAAAAGGGGAGTTCCACGCCGCCCGCGCTGCTCCTGCTGCTGTCCCGTCTCTGCCTGGACTACGAGACAGCCACCATCTCCTACATCCTCACCCTTGCTGACGAACAGTTTCTGGTGCAGGTACCTGTAGCTCTGAGACCACATGTCCTGCCTGTGCCCACCCCATCCTCCACCTCGCCCAGTCCATCTCCCAGGCAACCCCCAGTCCCACTACTCTTCTGTTCTTCTTGCCCGCCTCAGGACCAGTCTCCAGTGACACCTGTGAGCACACTGTGTGCAGAGGCCAGGGAGACGGCGCGGCGGTTGCTGACCCACTACGTGAAGGTGCAGGGTCTGGTCATATCACAGATGCTGCGGAAGAGTGTGGAGACTCGGGATTGGCTCAGCACCCTAGAGCCACGGAATGTGCGCGCTGTCATGAAGCGGGTGGTGGAAGACACAACTGCTATCGATGTGCAGGTGCTGCCTGGGCTGCGGGCTGGGGACTACTGTTTGAGGCTCCTGACCTTGACACAGCAGGGGTGGGCAGTGCTGGCACCCATAATCCCATTCCTCCTCATTCTTGGGTTGTGGCACCACTGCCCCAGTTTCACCAGAGTCACCCCAGAAATAGAGCCAAGGCTGGGCCTGAAAGCTGGGCCTGAAGATTGGGCCTTGGGACCAACTCTGTGCCCCGCCTTTGTCTCACTTCATTGTTTCCATAGTGGTGGGTACCAACTATGATTCTTATAACAAAGCAATAGGTCACTTACGTAATACCTGGTGGACAGAGGCCCCTATACTCTGGCCTCCCTGCAGTGCCCCTTTTAACCACTAGGTGGGGCTCCTGTATGAGGAGGGTGTTCGCAAGGCCCAGAGCAGCGATTCCAGCAAGAGGACTTTCTCTGTCTACAGCAGCTCTCGGCAGCAGGGCCGCTATGCGCCCAGCTATACACCCAGGTTTGGTTTTGTGGTTAGGGCACCCTGGGGGGAATGGGCAAAAGAAGACTGGGGCGCAGGGGGGCCTTTGATGCCTTACATCTCCCCTTCCAGTGCCCCAATGGATACCAACCTCTTGAGCAACATCCAGAAGCTGTTCTCTGAACGCATTGACGTGTTCAGCCCTGTGGAATTTAACAAGGTCTGAAGCCCCCAGTGACCCCGGGATCTTGGAGAAGTCCTAGGGCACTGTCGTGGCCCAGCTGGCTATGACCCTTGTCCCCAGTCCCTGGGATTGTTTCTAGGAGTGAGTGGTGTTCTAGAGACCCACCCTTTCCCCTGCGTGACCCTCCCAAAATCCCACGGCCCCTTCCCCTGACCTTGATGTACTCCTAGCCTAGGTTTGGGCATTCCTCTTGTGTGCCTCTTGCCCTGTCAATGTACCCACAGTAAGGAGTGCTCATGGCCCAGTGGTGAAACATTCTGCTGCTGACTGAAAGTTTGGCAATTCAGATCCACCAGCCAAAATCCATGAGAGAAAGGTGTGGCTGTCTGTTTCCAGAGAGATTGTTGTTGTTAAGTATTGTGGAGTCGGTTCCGACTCATAGTGACCCTGCCCAGGGTTTCTGAGACTGTGGATTTTCATGGGAGCAGAACGCCTCATCTTTCTCCCATGGAACCGCTGGTAGTTTTGAACTGCTGACCTTGAGGTTGGCAGCCCGACTCATAACCTCTATGCTACCAGAGCTCTTTCTAGAGAAGTTGTTGTTGTGAAGTGTCATTGAGTCAGTTCCAACCCATAGCGACCCTATGTCTATGTGTAGGGTTTCCAAGGAGTGGCTGGTGAGCTTGAACTGCCCACCTTGCAGTTCAAATGGCTTTGCAGTCGGATGCATTAAGCCACAGGGCCACCCCAGGACTCCTGAACATCCTTTTGGGCATTTAGGATCTGCCCTTTGGGGTCACTATCTGTTGGAATTGACTCAATAACAGTGGACTCCCAGTAGTCCTGAGCTTTGTAGTCACACCATGGTCCCTGCCACAGCTCTCTCGCTAATTCTGCCCATGTCAGTGCTGGCCACCAAGTGCTGGGCCCCACTGTCCCCTCCCCTCACAATGAGGGTACCACCTTACTATTCCATGACCCATGCCCCCTCTCCGGGGATTCAGCCCTGTGCCACCTCCTTCAGTCCCTGAACTGCATGCCGGTTCCCTGCCTGCAGGTGTCGGTGCTGACAGGCATTATCAAGATCAGCCTGAAGACGCTGCTGGAGTGCGTGCGGCTGCGCACCTTTGGGCGTTTCGGGCTGCAGCAGGTACAGGTGGACTGCCACTTCCTGCAGCTCTACCTGTGGCGCTTTGTGGCCGATGAGGAGCTCGTGCACTTGTTACTCGATGAAGTGGTGGCCTCAGCTGCCCTGCGCTGCCCAGACCCAGTGCCCATGGAGCCCAGTGTCGTCGAGGTCATCTGTGAACGCGGCTAGGTCATCTGGACCCACCCCACCCGTCCCCCGGCCTCCTGTCTAATCAGATTGGTCTAATAAAGATGCTTTGGCTCCTTTTGGCTCCTGCTTTAGTTTTCCCGGGGGTGGGGCTTTGAGGTTACACAGCAACGCGTGAGACCCGCCCCTAAGTGCCGATTGGCTGGTCTGCTGGGCCCAGCATGGGCCGGAGGCGGATCCACTTAAAGCTCTAGGGCCGGCTGCCCAAGATTCCACTCAGCAGAGACAGGTGCAAGCAAAGCAACCCCTGTCCTCGTCGCCACTGCACCCATCTGGGGATGGGGTGGGCTGTGCTTCCTGACAGGCCTTTGTGAGCTCCCAGACAGAGCCGAGACCATGACTCCTCAGGGCTCCCAGGCCCCGCTGGAATTCGGGGGGCCGCTGGGTAATGAGGCGTAGAGAATAGGGGGCCTAGAGCTCTGCGAGGGGGTGAAGTACGGGTGGGTACACCGAGGGGGTGGGAGAGGTGGGCAGTGCTTGGGCCGGCCAGGGTCCCAACTATGTTGACATGATCCGGAGTCAAGGGAGAACATCTAGAGAGGGAGAGTTGAACTCTGAGCGGATTCCAGCCTTGAGGCTGCAGCGCAGGGGGAGTTGTAGTGTTGGGAAACACGGGAGGGGTACAGCAAGTCAGAGGTGGGTCTTCGAGGGGACCTAGGGACCAAGATGGAGTCAGGGAAGGAGAGGGACAGACGGGGGTCCACAGATCTGGACCTTGCGGGAGCCGGCTGAGAATGAAATCTGAGGACAGGCCATGAGAATGCTGAGGGTGCCTGGGGGGGTCGTGGGAACTTGGGAGCCGACGCCCAAAGCAATCAGCCCCTGTCTTTGTCTCCCTGCTCCAGGCGCTGCGTCGCTGATGGTGCTGCTCCCTGTCACCATGCTCCACCTGCTCCTGGTAGCGGGCTCGGAGCCGGCAAGACTCTTGGGCCCGCCCCCCTACCTACCGGGACTGGAAGAGCTGTGGAGCCCGCAAGCGCTGTTGCTGTGGCTTGCCTGGCTCGGCCTGCAGGCGGCACTCTACCTACTGCCGGCGCGCAAGGTGTGGGCTCCGCTGGTCCACAAGTGCGGGTCGGGGTAGGGGATCGGTTAGGAGAAGGCACCCCAACCCTTATCAGAGGCTTCATGTATCTGCAGGTGGCTGAGGGGCAGGAATTGAAGGACAAGAGTCGCCTGCAGTACCCCATTAACGGTACCTGGATGACGGGTCCTTTTTGTGGGGTTGCGTGAGTGGTGGTGGGGCCCTACGCCAAAGGGGGCATCCTTAGAAACTGGCGCCCCACCCCCACCAAGCACAGCTCGAGATGCTGGCTGCCCGCGCCCCCCCCCCCCCATGCAACATCCCACTTACTGCTCCCCTGGGCCCAAGCAGTGGCTGGTTGACTGTCAAGGCCAAGGTGGCCGTATAATGGCTTGGGATGAGGTGTGTTGTGGGGGAGGGGAAGGCGGAGGTGCGCCGCCCCCTGGCTCACTGTGTGGTGGCTCAGGTTTCCAGGCCCTGGTGTTGACTGCCCTGGTGGTGGGCCTGGGGGTGGCAGTCGGGCTACCCCTGGGGACGCTCCCTGAAATGCTTCTGCCCTTGGCGTTCGCCTCCACCCTCACTGCCTTCGTCTTCAGCCTCCTTCTGTATCTGAAGGCTCTGCTAGCACCTGCCTCCGCCCTGGCACCTGGGGGAAACTCAGGTGAGAGGAGTCCCAGTGGGGAGACGATGGAGGCCGGTGGGGCCTTCCATCCGCACTTTCACCCCCTTCCCCCGTGATTCTCTCTCCAGGCAATCCCATTTATGACTTTTTCCTTGGACGGGAGCTCAACCCGCGCATCCGTTACTTGGACTTCAAATATTTCTGCGAACTGCGGCCTGGCCTCATCGGCTGGGTATGCCAGACTTGGCTGAGTGGTGGGAGAGGGGCAGTACTTGGACAGGTCAGGGTCCACACTGTGCTGACACGGATCATTCATTCATTACACAATATTTGTTGCACTCACCATTTGCTTTAGGCTCTAGGTACTGGGACAAAAGAGAAAATACAGGTACAGACCATTAAAAAACAATTGTTCTCATGTAGCCTACATTTTAGTGGGAAAGAGAAAAAAATAAAGTCAGATAGTATGTCAGAACATGAATAAGTGTTATTAAAAAAAAAAAAAAATACTGCCGTGGGGGCAAGAGAGCAAGTGCCAGTTTAAATAAAGCCATCAAGGGCAGACTATGTCGCAGGAAGAAGAGAGTGGTCATATGTTGCTTGCTGGGGCCAGGTCTCTGCAGTGTTGGTATTGGTTATGTGCCATGGAGTTGGCTCTGACTCATAGCGACCCTGAATAGGGTTTCCAAGGCTGTAAATCATTATGGGAGCAGAAAGCCTCATCTTTCTCATACGGAGCAGCTGGTAAATTCAAATTGCTGACCTTTCGGTTAGCAGCCCACCTCGTAATCCACTACGTTTATCAGAAGCAAGAATTGAGCACCCTCTGAAACGTGACTGCTGGCCTTGACAGCACTCCATCCATGTTCTTTAGCTACCTTCACTCCAGCTGGATTTTAGCCAAGATTTCCCAAAAGCCTTTTGGCTCAGGTCTTTCACATAACCCTGGAAATGACCTCATGGAGAAGTGGGAGGAGCCAGGTGCCCACGGCAGATATGGATTCCAAGTTGGTGGTGGACTTTCAGGACTATTTCCTCCTAAAATGACTGAGGGATAGGAGAGGTAAAGTAAGGACTGCACCAACCCCGGTGACAGTTAAAGGATGTGCTCAGAACTGGCTGGTTCCCAGCGAACCATCCCAGAGCACGTATCATGCGCCCAAGGCACACTGCCTAGCTCTTCCCAGGCATGATCCCCAATTTCCTCATGGGGTGGACATGCTAGGCTTTGGAGAGGGTAAGTGACCTGCCCAAGCAGTGAAGCTGAGATTGAAAGCCTGGTCAGCACTAACTCTGGAGGCTTGGGTTTCCAACTTCTCTCCCAGAAAAATGGGCTGTGAGTACACACCCGCAGAGGCAGCTATCACAGTCCCAGTGCCCTGGTCAGTGACAGAGAGTGACAGCTGAGAAGGGATGAGGCTGACTGCTGCCACCTCACTGCAGACAGCCTGGGGACAGACTGCCCTGTCTTCCCCACCCCCTCAGGTCCTCATCAACTTGGCCCTGCTGGTGCAGGAGGCGAAGCTGCGCGGTAGTTCTTCACTGGCCATGTGGCTGGTCAATGGCTTCCAGCTACTCTATGTGGGTGATGCTCTCTGGCACGAGGTGAGACTGGAACTGGCTAGAGGTGGTGGGGAAGATGTCTAAGGACTGCCTGGGGATTAAATGGTGCCTCTGGGTCCTGTTCCTGCAGGAGGCCATCCTTACCACCATGGACATCACACATGATGGGTTTGGCTTCATGCTGCTCTTTGGGGACATTACCTGGGTACCCTTCACCTACAGCCTGCAGGCCCAGTTTCTGCTGCACCACCCGCAGGCCCTGGAGCTGCCCATGGCCTCCGCCATCTGCCTCCTCAATGGTCAGTCTGCAAGGGGCAGCAGGCTGGGCCCACCATTCACCTCCTTCATTCACTGTGTCTGTCCAGCACTCACTAAGGGGGCATTAGTGATTCTCTAAAGCCAGGGGCGAAATCCTGGGTCTCCAGGTGGACTGCCTGTGGCTGAGGACAAGGGCAGGTGTACGATCAGGGTCAGGCAGAGACTATGACCCTGACCACCTTACCCACTTGTTCCCCCAGCCACTGGATACTACATCTTCCGCGGGGCCAATTCCCAGAAAAACACCTTCCGAAAGAATCCTTCTGACCCCAGAGTGGCTGGTAAGCTGGGCCTCTATGGTGCCGCGGGTAAGGCAAGACATCTGGGCTTCCTGAGGGCACCCAACTTTACCTGTCTTTCCCCAGACCTGGAGACCATCTCTACAGCCACAGGGCGGCAGCTGCTGGTGTCTGGGTGGTGGGGTATGGTCCGCCACCCCAATTACCTTGGAGATCTCATCATGGCCCTGGCATGGTCCCTGCCCTGTGGTGAGTGGGTTGGGTGGGTGGGTGAGGACAAAGGTGCAGTGGAGCCCACAGGATGCCTCATCTGGGTGTGGAATGGAGAACAAAGGGGCACCCCTGTGAAGGGGTTAGTCAGGGTGCATGGGGCAGGGGCAGAGGCTTCCACGCCAGCTTGGCAGTGACAGTGAGCCCTCGGGTGTGGACACCTTTTGAACTGATGGGGCTGGCTGGGTGGGCTTTGTGATCACCTGCTCCCCACAGGGACCTCCCACCTGCTGCCCTACTTCTACCTCCTCTATTTCACTGCTCTGCTGGTGCACCGGGAGGCCCGGGATGAGCGGCAGTGCCTGCAGAAGTATGGTCTGGCTTGGCGGGAGTACTGCCGGCGTGTGCCTTACCGCATCCTGCCCTACATCTACTGAGGCCTTACATCTGGTGAGGCTCACCCATCCACCAGCATCCACCCGGGCTCAAGGCTCTGACAACCACCAGAGGCCAGAGGAGGCGGGGATGAACAGCCTCAGAGAAAAGGTGGTTTGGAGAAAGGAAGGAAAAATGGAGCCAGTGCCCCAGAACGGATTGAAGTAGGCAGGATTGTTCTTGCCCTTTGGATAAACGTCTCGAACCTTTTCTGGTGCCGCTTTACTCCAGTTCTGGGGCTGGGCTGTGTTAACTGTCTGGATCAGGTCTGACTAAGGCAAGAGTCTGGAGTTAAGTGGGGCAACAGGGCAGACCAGTCACAGCTTTATTAATGCCAACAAGTCCCCTTTTAACCAGGTAGCTCTTCAATGAGAGTCCTCCGGGGTGGTGGCACGGGGCCGCCCCAGAGCCGCTCCATCTCGCCAGTGAGGGCTGCCATTTCCTCCGCGGCCACAGCGCAGGCTCGGTGGGCCCTGGCGCAGTCTAGAGCCAGGGGTGTGAGGGCCGCCTCGTTTTCGTTGGTCCAGGCTAGCAGGAATTGGCACTTCTTTCGGGCCCGGTATAGGTGATGCCGCTCTTCTGCGGCCACGGCCTGTTTCCGGGTCGTGCCCAGGATCTGTGCCAGGTGTCCCAGCGCTGCCAGCGTGTAGCCTTTCTGATTGGCTGGGCCTTCCCCCATCAGGATTCGGGCGGCCTCATGCATGGCACCTCGTGTACCCAGGGGTCCTGGCGGGTGTTCACCAGCCTCCAGCACATGGATTGCAGCCTGCAGGGCTTCCTCAGTAGAGGCGAAAACTTGCTGGGCGCCCAGCGCCCCAGAAACACTGAGCAGTGTGGCACAAAAGTCGGGGAGCAACGCCTGGTCCCCGCCGTGGTACAGGGCCAGCGTGTGCGCGTAGGCGAACAGCACGTTGGGCAGCTGGAAGCGCACGAGCGGCGAGACCGGGCTTCGGCTCAGGTTGGCCAGCGCAGGGATGCGGGTGGGCACAGTGGGCGCGTCTGTCCCCGGGGCGTCTCCGTGAACCGTCTCTGCGGCCTCGGGCTCCCCAGCGGTGGCTGATTCCTTCGCGGGTTCCGACGGCGTCCTCGAAGGGCCAGGATCCAGCTCTGCGGCGTTACTGCCCGATGTGTCGTCTTCCAGCTCCTCCAGAAGCCGCGGCTCGGATACGCGGGCCCACCACCATGGCCGCCACGGAGGCAGTAGCCGCCCGGCCTCACCGCGGCTCAGCAGCTGCTCGAAGGCTGCTTTCTCGGCCGGGGTCAACCGTTCCCAGAGGTCTGAAAGGCCGCCGGGCGCTGGGCCAGGGTTGAGGCCTGCTTCCTCTGGCTCATCCTCGGTCTCCTGTTGCTGACGCAGCCGGCGTAGGGCGCTTGCCAGGCGGCTGGGCGAGGAGGTGCGGCCGCGGAGCTCGCCTAGCACCTGGTCACGGTAGAAGTCTTCGGCGCAGCTGCCATGTGCTCGGTAGCAGCGCAGCGAACAGTAGGGCACATTACAGCGCGGGCAGGTATAGCGCGCCGGCTGGGTCTCCCCGACCGGGCAGAAACCACAAGGCCCGGTCGGTTCCATGGCAACTGGCACAGCCAGCGAGCTGCGAAAGCACAGGACCGGTAACTCGAAAACTTCCGGCGCGTCTTCAGTTACTTCCGGCGCGTCTTCGGTTACTTCCGCCTCTTTGCGGGAGCGACGCTGTGTTTAACCAGAAGTCTCTCGGCTATTCCCGTCAGCCAAACCCCACCCATCGCTCAAATGTTTGGGCAGGCGCAGACGCAGGCGTGAAGTACGAACTCCGCCCCGGGCCCGATAAGAATCCCGGCCTTGACGGCAATGCTTAGGCAAGCCGGAAAGAATCTTCCAGCGGACCTACAGACTCCCTGTTGGTTGCGCTGTAACGTGTACCCCAAATTACCTGAAACTACAGCTTTAGTAGGGACCTCTGGTAGCGTAGGTTGCGAATCGGGCTGCGAACCGTTAGGGTCAGCAGTTCGAAACTACCAGCTGTTCTGCGGGAGAAAGATGAGGCTTTCGGCTCCTGTAAAGATTTACAGCCTCGGAAACCCTGTACAGGGTCGCTATGAGTCGGAACCGACTCCACAACACATAATAACAGCTGCAAGGTCGGCGTTTCAAACTCACCGCTTCTCAAAAACCCTAGAGTGTTACTATGAGTTGGTTGGAACCAACTCGAAGAAGGCACTTAACGGTGGCGCTGTAGGGTAAGCACTGGACTTATAAGGTCGATGGTTCAAACCCACCAGCTGCTCCTTCGAAACTCTATGCAAGGTTGCTCTGAGTCGGAATCCACTGATGGCACTTAACCCTTTTAACTGGGCCAGAACTATGGGAGTTTAAGATGAGATGCAGCCATTCACTGAACACAGCTTTGGATCGATGGGTTCAGTCATGGCTGATGGATCAAAGTTGGAAAAGACCCGAATTTATAAGATCGGTGTTCTTATATGCCATGGAGTTGGCTTCGACTTATAGCGACCTTGTGTACAGATTGTGGGTTTGAACTGCTGACCTTGTGGCTCTCAGTCCAGTGCTTATCCTACAGCACCGTACCAGGACAGTAACTGGAATGGGACAAATTACAGGTCGAAGGTCTGAAATGGGATTCAGAAGAGGCACAGTAAGCTTTTTCAGGACTAGATTATTGCCAGAACTATGAAGAGTGACACACATTCAAATATGTCATTGGTGGGTCTTTGACCTGAGCGCCAGTTTCTTTGTAGAGATTTGGCTGCTACGTAATGTACACATTGCCCTTGTTTTCTAAGATGGTTCCAGCAAGACTTCTACTTGTAATCTTTTTCAGTTCCTTACCATTCTGGTTGGTAGTTAGGCACCATCAAGTTGGTTCCCACTCAGTGACCCTATGCACAACTATTTGGTACACCCATGTTTTACCAATTTGGTCTGTTAATGGCTTCCACTTCAAGGGCCATGACTGGGAAGAACCAGTTTGAAGCTCTGCTTAATAGCATACAAATATTGAGGCAATTGTTGAGGATTAAAGTCCAGATGGAAACACCTGAGCTCAACCTGGTTAGATTGGGAACACACCCTCCCTTCAGTAAAAAAACAATTACTTAGTATCTGAGCTCCTGTTTGAGTTCCTACTTTAAACTCTTATGTCTTCTCATTAAATACTACAATTGTTCACTTAATTGAACTCCATACTGGGCACTAAAAATACAACGAATAAATGAGATGGCCTAAAGGAGCTCTGGTAGCGTAGTGGTTACAAATCGGGCTGTGAACCGCAAGGGAGAAAGATGAGGCTTTCTACTCCCGTAAAGATTTACAGCCTCGGAAACCCTGTACCGGATAGTTATGAGTTGAAACTGACTCCACAGGACATAACAACGGAACTTAAAAAAAGCTCTCGTAGCATAGTGGTTACAAATTGGGCTGAGAGCCTTAAGGTCAGCAGTTTGAAACTACCAGCTGTTCCGCGGGAGAAAGATGAGGTTCTCTGCTCCGGTAAAGACTTACAGCTTCGGAAACCCTGTACAGGGTTCGCTATGAGTCAGAACCGACTCCACGGCACATAACAACAACAACAACGGCACTTAAAGAGTGGGGCCATTAACTGTGCCAAGCATTGAAGACTTCTTCCATGGCACTGGCTGAATGTATGTCCTGAATGTTTTCTTCCTTCTTACTCCAAACCCAATCCCACTTAACATTTGTCTCCAAAAGAACTGGCTACGGGTCACCTATTTCAATACCAAAATGTGAGTGAAGTTACCTTTCAAATCCATTTATTTACATCCACTGTACTGGAGGTCTAAGCCATCCCCTCACCTGGAGGTTCTTAACTGGTGTTTCAGCACCTTACTGCTTTAACTTTCTTGCATACCTTCCAGGAAATCAGGGAAAATAATTAAACAAGTCAAATCACTTCAGCCCTGTGCTTTGAACCCTTCCATAACCTTCTATTGTGGTGATGTGCCATGGAATTGGAACCGAGTATCAACCTTATTCAGGGTTTCCGAGGCTGTAAATCATTACGGGCGCAGTATGCCTCATCTTTCTCCCGTGCAACAGCTGGTAGTTTCAAACTGCTGACTTTGAGATTAGAAGCCGGATTCGATTCGTAACCACTAAGCTACCAGAGCTCCTTGTTGTTAAGTGCCATTGAGTCGTTTCTGACCCATAGCGACCCTGTATAGGGTTTCCAAGGAGCAGCTGTTGACTTTGCAGTTCAAACACTTTGCAGTCTGACACATTAGCCCACAGCACCACACCAGGACTCCAGAGCTGCTTGTAGTTGGGAGTAAACTCCAAGCTCTTCTCTGTGGCCACCCTCTTCTACTGGCCTCTACCTTTGCACACGTTTCTTGTGGTTATTCATGTTTTTCATCCCAGCATCCTACTTACTTTCTTTGAAGCTATTAATACAGATAACTACTTTGTTCCCATTTTCTCCACAAGAATCTAAATTCCAGAGGGCAGGGATTGTGTTTGTTAGCACTTAACAATATGCTAGGTATTGCTCTAAGCACTTTGCATCCTTTATTTAACCCTCACAACCGAGTCTGAAGAGATTTCATGAGTTAGCTCAAGGTCATACAACCAGGTTCAAACACAGGCAGTCCAAGTCTAGAGTCTAAGGTCTTTACCGTTGCGTCCTGACATGTGATATCCCAAGCAGCAGCAGATTCAAAACCTGTAGTTGAAGGGACAACTGTGGCCAGAGAGAACTTAGCCCAAGAGAAACTCTATGGTGAAACAATCAACTACCCAGAGATGGCTCTGTTTAGGTTAACAAGGCCTATGAGCCAATCATGGACACACAAACAAGGTCACCCATCAACAAGGTGCTAGTGTCATCAGATACCACAGCTTGCAATGCTGACTCCACCAAGCTCACAGATGAACCCAGTTCCAAGGACCAAGCTAGATCAGGGTTTCCTGATCAATTCCACACTCTCAAGTTAGGTGGTATCTGGAGTTTCCCTCACTCTCCATCGGAACAGCTCTGGTTTCTCAGAATTCCCTTGTAGCTTCTTTCCTCCAGACAACAGGATTCTGGCATTGCCTAACTCAACACCCCCAAGAAACTCAATGAAGCCTCATTGTTGTTAAAGGACACACCACCCAGACGCCCTACCACCCCCATTGCTGTTGCTAAGTGTTTCAAAAGTTGGTCCTGACTCATAGTGACTCTGTATAGGGTTGCCAAGGAGCAGCTGGTGAGTTTCAACTGCCAACCTTGCAGTTTAAACTGATCTTGCAGTCGAGTGCATTAACCTGCATACCAGGACTATCTCCCCTAGGAGCCCTGCAAATGAAGATGAAACAAACATATGGCTGGGGCAAAATGGCTGTATTAGAGGCAAACCAACATCACAAAGGACTTTAAGAATTGGCATTGGGACCCTTCTTCTTGCCAAAGGTGGGCACAACATTGACAAAACGTCGGTTGTACTGCATCCGCCGCTTGGCCCGGCCAGTCTTCTTCTTCTTCTTCTCCTGTTTAGCCACCTAAAAAAGGATTGGGTTGATTAGATCCTGGTTGACATCTTTTGTGGTACTTTTCCCTCAGGCTGAATTCCCAGAAAAGATTAGGCAGACAGGGCAAGAAAGTGCTTTAGTTTAGCTATGACAGGAAATGACCAAGTTCACGAGATACCATCCTAGATGCTTTCTTACCTTGGGAGTCTGACCTCTCACTTTCCCAGCACGAGCCAGGGAACCATGGACTTTGCCTGTGGTGGAAAACAAGGACAGCAAGCAGTTAGGAGAGCAAAGACTCTGTCCTCCCTCAACTCCTGCCTTTAGGGGGAAATTGGGGCCAGCAAGACATAGAAGGAAACTGTAGAGGTTTGACCTGTGTCTAAAAATATGCTAGGGTGGCCCATTCTGGGGTTTCACGTCAGGATTTTGCAGCCCCTGATTTTAAATACAAACTGGAAAGTGCCTTAGAGAGCTGGTCAGACCTCCTGGTTTTTGTGGGGAAACCGGGAGACAAAGTTTCTGACAAATGGTTGACCTAAAACTACATTCTGGCTCAGTCACCAATGAATCTGTGAGGCAAATAGATGACACTGTGGGTACGCCACAGGAATGACACTAAGCTTTCAGAAGTACACTCAGGAGTCCACAGGCAGTTCAGAGGTCACCCCAATCCCAGCTCACCTCCAAGCATGCGGCCAGCTACTTCCAGAGTGGTCAGAGCCTCCAGCCCACACTGGCCCAGGGTGGCTTCATCCTCCAGGGGTGTGCCTCTCAGGAGCACAACCTGATCTTCCGGGGCGATACCCTCCAGCGAGGCCACATGAGCCTATGGAGAAAAATGAGGCTCGTAAGCTTTCCAGTGGGGTCGGCGGTCGGGGCATGGCCATGAGAACACGAGCGGAGAGAGTTCAGGGGGGTACTACGCAGCCTTACCTTGATCTGAGCGACCGTCTCCTGGCCAGTCACCTCAAGGGTGTGTAGTTCCTGGGCGCGGACAAAGAGCTGCATGACTACGACTAAGAGAAGAAAGAAGGATCATAAGAAAAGAGAAAAAATGCTTTAGACGAGTAGGTTGGGGAATGGATGGCAGGTCGCAGAAGATCGTGAGGTGGTCTGGGTTTCACGTGGAGAAGGCCGAGCATGCTGGGGAGGTCGGGAGGGAAGCCCCTATTCTTCCGCTTTCTCCGCGTCCACTGAGCTCGCAGCCAACCTGCCACTAAGTCCCCCGGATCCAGCTGTGGCCCAACTCTTACCTTGAAAGGCAGACGCTGCTGCGACTACGGCGAAGATGGAGCCGAGAAAGAGGAAGGAGCAGGAGCGCGCACGTTCTAACAGAGTACGGCGTGTTACGTCACTGCCGAGCGACTACGCGCGATCCTTATATACCGCTCACGGCCGTGTTGGTCACGCCCCTTTAATGTGTTCTTCCGGTCCCAGGAGACTCGCGAGGGAAGGGGTGGGAGCAGGTGGGTTGCGCGCGCAGAAGGCTAGTGTTCGCGATAGGCAAACATGGCTGCTATCGTTTTCAGGGTTGCGCTCCGGAGCTGGAGAACCGGCGCTCTGCCGGGTTGCGGGCTGCGGCACCTGGTGAGTGCGGCTGAACCTGGAGTTGAGGGCAGACGCCTGGGTGTGAGGCTCGCTGTTATTAGTTGTCACCCTGAAATCTGCGTCCCTCTTCCGGTTTGATTAAGTTTAGGTGTCACAAATTGAGAAGGAAGGTGGCAGGGTCTGGATCCTGATTTAGAATGTGGAGATTGGAACCAAGCAGGAGGGCAGCCCGGGTTACTCAGAACTGCTTCGTCTTTCTAGAGGGAAACCGTTCCACAGTGTAGGAACCGACCTCAGATTATTGGTCACACTTATGAAAACCCAGGGCTCTTGATATACACAGGCCACTTTATTCTCTTTTCTGCTGTCGTTATAACCCCCTAACCTTTCAGACGCTAGAGTATCTCTTGGGAGAAGTGTCCAAAAGAATCTTTGAACTGAAAGGATGGGAGGACACATCGATTTAATAACTGGAACTGCCATCATACGGTTTTCAAGGCTGTAAATGTTCATGGATAAAGACGACTAGATCTTTGTCCAGCTAAAAAGACCGGTGGGTTTGAACCACTGACCACGTGTTTAATGTTATTGTTAAGTGCCGTGGAGTCTATTTCAACTCAGCGACTCTGTATAGGCTTTTCAAAGAGTGGCTGATGAGTTGCAGTTCAAACCGACCTTGCTGTCCAGTGCTAATCCTACAGGCCTTGAGTGTTTAACCGCTTCGCCACCAGAGCTCCTAAATAAACAACAAAACAACCCCACTGCCAACGAGTCGATTCTTAAAAGATTGAGCAGAACTGCTCCCGAGACTGTAAATCTACCCAAAAGTAGTCAGCTTTACCTTTCTCCTGGGGAGCAGCTGGTGGATTCCAACTATCAACTTATTGGTTAGGTAGGTGTCAGCCCAAAGTTTAACCCACCACACGACTAGGACTCCTGTTAAGTGCTGCCGAGTGGGTTCCAACTCCTAATGACCCTGTGTACAATTTCTATGGAGCCGCTGGCTGGTTATTCTTCAGCACCACACCAAGACTCCACCAGGACCCCTTAGTGTTGTGTGCTGCCTAGCCGATTCTCACTCATATTGACCCTGTATAGAGTTTCCAAGGAGCAGCTGAGTTTCACCCGCCGGCCTTGTGGTTCAAAACTGACCTTGTGGTCTAGTGCTTTATCCCATAGCGCCATGCCAGGACCCCTAGGTAGTGTTAGAAAAAAAAAATTTTTTTTCAATGCTGTAATCTTTCTTGGAGGAGTTCTGGTAGCGTAGTGGATATGAATTGGGTTGTGAACCTTGAGGTCAGCAGTTAGAAACTGTTCCGTGGGAGAAAGTTGAGGCTTTCTGCTCCAGTAAAGATTTACAGCCTTGGAAACCCTGTACAGGGTCACCAGGAGTTGGAACCAACTCCACAGCACGTAACAACAATCTTTCTTGGATGTAAAAAGGGATAATAAAATACTCTAATTTGTGTTGTACGAATGAGGTGAAAACAATGCCTGTTTTCCTTCTCCACTTACTAATATCCCATCCGTCCTGTGATGGGTAGGTGGGTGGTGTGTCAGAGTGGCTAATACAGAGACATGTTTTTTGTGTGTGTTTTGCCTCAGAGCCAAATTCAGGGGTCACCTGATTACCCTAGCTTCGTGGAATCTGTGGATGAATACCACTTTGTGGAGCGCCTGTTACCCCCTACCAGCATCCCAGAGCCCCCAAAGCATGAACATTATCCCACTCCCAGTGGCTGGCAACCTCCACGAGGTGAGAATGGCTTGAAGGCTGAGGGCAGCACCCTTCCTAGTGATCTTTCTCCCCCACTGGCAGCTGAGACTCTGGACTCCCCAGTGGGTTCAGGAATAGCATGTGTCACTAGTACCCATGCACACTTTGGGCATGGGGACCTTCCCAAATGGGGGAAAATGAAGCATATTGCGAAGAACTTGGTCCCCTCCCCCCAGTGGGCCATGTACCATTCATTGAGAGCACTAGCTTGGGAGTCAGGTAGTTCAGGGTTGGGATTTGGCTCTATTTCCCAACTTCACATTTTACAAAATGGAGTTACCTGTTTGCCACAGAATGCTCTTGGTGTATAGCCAGCATGTGGTTGGTGTTCAGTGCATGTAAATTCCTATTCCTTTGTTCCTTTGTTTTCAGTCTTTCTCCAACCCAGCAGAGAAAGGCAAAGATGGCCTCCAGAGGGGGGTCTGAAGACTCAGAGGCCATGGCCCTGGCTTCATTTCTTCCACTTCATAAATACATAATGAGCATCTATTTGTGCCAGGCTCTGACCTAGGCATGGCAGCCCTGGTGTGGCCTAGTGGGGTGCACTGATCCTCTGACCTCAGAGGGATAGGGATCTTAGATGAGGTAAGAGGCTCAGGAAGTGTTGGCTTATTGATGCCCCTCTCTGTCACAGACCCCCCACCCAACCTGCCCTACCGTGTGCAGCGCTCTCGGATGCATAACATACCAGTCTACAAAAACATCACACATTGTAACCGCCAGACGACTGTGATCCGAAAGGTGGAGGGGGACATCTGGGTAAGTGGGTGGGTGGTGTTCAGGGCAGAGTGAGCAGGTGTCGAGACTGGGACCACCTTCCCTGTCCTCTAGAGGCCTGATTGGTGGTTTTTCCCTCAGGCCCTGCAGAAGGATGTGGAGGATTTCCTCAGCCCGCTGCTGGGAAAGAAGCCCATCACTCAGGTCAATGAGGTGACGGGGACCCTACAGGTCAAAGGCCACTTTGACCAGCAGCTGAAAGGCTGGCTCCTGGAGAAGGGTTTCTGAAGCCCAGCTGAGCACCCTGCACAGGGGCCCTCTACAGACAAGTCCAGGGAGTGCTGGGGGACGGGATGGATGCTGTTGGGACAGGGATAGAGAGACATGGGTCTACAGTCTGTGAAGGCCCAGGGGCCTCAGGGTCAACTTTGCTGGTAAATGGAGAACTGGGACCTAGCCCTTCTGTTCAGGTTCCTGGATTGGGGAGGGCTATTTACATTGAAGACCCACCAGGAACAGCTGAGCTACTGGGGGTAGCTGTCCTCTCCTCTACTGTGACCTGTTCCTGCTGGAGGGATAGTCTACCTACTGTAGCACAGGGCAGGCCCGTCCTGAGCTCACTGCTGTAGATGTTCCGCACATGGATCCCCTGGCCAGGAAGCTGGTGTCCCTGTTCCAATCCATAGTAGGGCCTGACACCTTTCCAGGATCTTGGACACAGAATCTCCAGCATGTTGAATTGTCTGCTTTGGTTGGCCTGACCTCTAGGAGATGCTAGAGTTCCAGGCGCCCAGCACGAGGTATCCCTGTGGTTCCCTATTGCACCCCAAGCCAGCTAGTTTTCACATTTGCCCAAAGTGCTGTTTCAGCCTCACCTACCCCAGCTCATCCCAGCATCCAACTGACTCAGACAGTTCAGATCTTGACTGTCCTACTTGTTCTCTGACCTAAGGTTAATTAAGTTCTCTGGAATTACATAGTTCATGCAAAAACTAGGCATATCTGTATTAGTTTAGACAGCGATGTGCAGTCTCATCTCAGCAAGGAATCGGAGCCTGTGATAATAGCCCCACCGGTTGTTAATGCAAGTTTTTATTTGGCCGTATATACATTTAAGCTATTAAAATTTGTACAATATTTACAAATTAAATAATCAACTGAAACTGTCTCCAGCAACTCTTGTAACACAAAACCAAGAGGGGAAAAAAAAAAGACGGGTGGACAGGCCTGGGGTCTTATGGTCCCCTCCCTGGTCTGGAGCCTTTTCTAAACTGGAAAGACCCCAAGCCTGGCATTCCTGTTCCTCCTTCCTGGGGTCAAGCATTCAAATTCAAAATACAACATTTAAGCCAAAAGACACTAGGCAGGAAGACTTTCAATTCTTCTCAACTCAGAAGTCCTGCAGGCTTGAGAAGTGACCTTCCTCTGATGCTGGACTTTGCAGTGGTTCTGGGCATGTGTGCACTGGTCCTCAGCCTGCTAGGAGGCTGGGCAGTGGCTGCTAGAGACCAGGTTAGTTTCCGTGGGTCATCAGAGAAGCAGCCTGGGAAGAGGGGCCTGGGGGAGAGAAGGGGCAGGGTCCCACAGTGCTGCCCACCTGCCCCCAGGCACTTCTTTCCCTGAGTTGTGTGGTTGCCAGTAAGACACACGGAAATGCCACGGGGCACATGGGCCACCCCAAGGGCTTTCTGGGGAGACGGGCAAGGAGAGGAAATTGGTACCAGTCTTGGTGGCCTGCCTCCAGCCCCCCTGGAGTCCACACTGAGGAACAGGAGCTAATACTGTTGGGCACTGCAGTGTGCTGGCACACACAAGTCAGGTTTGGAGGGGCTGCCCCTTCTCCCAAAAGAGGGGTATGGTGGAAGAAGGCTTCCCAGGGACTGAGCCTTTCTTTCTGCCCTCACTGCCCAGCTAGGCCCAGCAAAACACAGGGCTGAAAACAGGAGGGGAGGGCTCAAGGTCCCCATGGCTGCCAGGAACTGTTTGCCTGGAGACTCAGCTGGGAACTCGGGCCTCTCTCTGTTCAGCTAGGGGGGCTGTGCCTCCTGAGCTCGGGGGTTACTTCTCCCTGTTGCAGACAGAGAAGGAGCTGGCACTTGGTGGCAGGACACGTCCCAGCGAGGGCTGCTCTAGAGAGCGGGGGGAGGGCAGGGGCTGGGCCTGGGGCAGTGTCAGTGGGCAACAGGGGACTCCAACTTTTGTAGGCGGCGGCGGCGGAGCTCTGCTGCATCAGGCTCCCCGTCTTCAGGCAGCTCCTCTGTGCCCAAGGACTCCGGAGCTGGGGACAAGGATGTCAGAAGTGGAGCCTGAAGAGTCCCTCACTCCACCTGCCTGGGGGCTGGCCATACCTACCTGGAGGCTTTTCCGGCTCAGGGGAGGAAGGGGAGGCTCCTGGGGATGGGGTGGTAGCCTCGGAACTGGGGACACTTGTGGAGACAGCAGCAGCCGCAATGCTTGAGGCAGCTTCCTCAGTGGGGTTGACTGAAGTAACAGGCCGGGGGGGCCTAGGAAAAGGAGAGAGTTGGGCGTCATCTTGGCATCCCAGGCCAGGTGGATTCTCCCAGGCCTGGATGAGTCTGGCCCTGCTGAAGCCAACTGCCAGTAGACACTGGGAACGGGCACAGATGGGACTCCCAGGGGGGTGATTCGAGGGCGGAGTGGCTGCGGAGCACCAGCAGTGAGCTGTCTCAGGGCAGTGGCCTTGTTCACCATCAGCTGCAGTCTTCACTCGGGTTAATGGATCCCATTGAATTAGTATTCACAGCTCAGCCGCAGCTCCAGGCTGCTTGGTCACAGCATACACGGGACTCTTGGCCTTTCAGATCACAGCCAGTGAGTGAGGGGATCAGAACTAGGTCTCGGGCCAGGTGGCCTCATTCCAGGGAGAGTGTCTCCATATGGCAGGGGTGTTCCCTGATGAACCGTGAGGTACTGGGAGCCTGAATAACGTGACTTCCGAAGAACATGACTCCAGACCAGCATCCCAAAAGCCACCGTGCCCACTTTCCATCCAGACATGGTTTCTGGGGTGGGGGAAGGAAAGGCACCAGGGTCTTTAAGTGCTCCGAGACCCTGAACGCTGTATGCTGTGACGCACCCGAGAGAGGCAAGCACAGTGAGGTACTGGTTGATCTGCAGCATGGCGGCGTCCAGCAGTGTGTGGATGTTGCGCAGGCTTTGCAGCCGGGCCTCCAGGTGTTGCCGCTCGTGGCCCTCCAGAGCTCGTAACTCCTCGGGGGTCAGCCCAGCAAAGCCCGCAGGGGGCACAGGCATTGGGGGAAAAGCTGGGGAGAGGTAGAGGCTCAGCCTAGCTGCTGGGCCTGGCAGCCCCTCCCCCTCCAGGGCAGCCTGAGGACAGCCCAACTTACCAAAGGGTGGAGGCAGGGGCATAGCCATCCAGGGGGGTGGGAAGGGGAAGCCTGGGGCTGGGGCAGCCTCAGGGACAGGGACGGAGCCGGGTGCCGGGGTGGAAGCACCAGCAACAGTGGAGCCAGCAGCTGTGGTTGTGGCTGCTCCTGCTCCGTTGGGCCGAGTCAGGGCTGCTAAAGAACAGCAACTAGTGAGTGAGCGCTGCGGGGCCTCTGGGTCCATCCCCTCCCCCTCATGGCCACAGCACCCAAAAGGCTTACCTGGACTCGTGGATGGGGGGGCCACTGCCTCTCCTGAGCTGGGAGGAGGCGGGACAGGTGGGAAGGGGCCCATTGGGGGCCACAGTGGGAACATGCCTGGAGGAAAGGGGGGCAGGAGGCCCTGGGGGACTGCGGAGAGAGGAGGGCCAGCATCAACATGGGACAAACCCCACTCAGGAAGTGGGACTGCACGGGATTGCCACCCTCCCTTCTAGTCTGCTCACCCCTCTCTCCCTCACCGTTAACTGCTAGAAGGGGCAAGGACTGTATCCCATTCACAAAATAGGGGTACTCACAGTTGGGGGGCTGGGGCAGGAGTGGTGGGGGGTGGGGGGCAGGAGGTGGCCCTTGGTCCGCAGGCTCAGGGGGCGGCGGTGACTGGACTGGCAGTGATGCCCGGAGAACGTCCATGCGGCAGGTAGGGCAGGTCTGCTGCCGCTGGAACCAGGAACGCAGGCAGCTGGTGTGAAGGCCGAGAGCAGGCAGGGTCAGCAGGTCACCAGAGGCTGCATCCCAGGCTGGGCCTTGATGTGGACTCCCCCTGATCACCCACCTGGTGTGGAAAATGTGGCCGCAAGGGAGCCTCTTGGCACCAGTCACCATCTCTTCTCGGCAGATGATGCAGACATTGTCCATTGCCTGCAGTTCCTCGGGGGTGGCATCTGGATACCTGGTCATGATGGGGACATGTTGGGGCCAGAACTGCAGGCAGGTGGACCCAGGATGGCCACGGAAGTTACCATGACAGGTCCACTTACAGTGTATTCATGTTGCGGATAGCTCGGCGAGACATGATGGCATCTGTCACAGCTTTCTTGAACTGCCTGAAAAGACAGTTTGAATGAAAGAAGCGGGAGAGGCCAGGTGGGGGTGGGGGTGGGGCAGGACTGGGCTCACCTCATGGCCAAGTACATGGGCCGGATGGCAAAGAGTGGGAAGGTATGCACCTTGATCATGATGGTCATGAAGGCCATGTACAGCAGAACCTTGATGAAGCCTGGAAGGTGGGGGGTGCAGAGGGCAGAGGTCATGGGTCTGGGAAGCAGAGCCTGGGACACTGGTCCAGGTGGGGCCCTGATTCCTCACCTGTGAAGAGCTCCGTGTAAAGCATGTACACGGCCTTGTTGTCCCAGGGGTTCTCGCTCTGAAGGTCCACGGAGTGCAGCACGTACTTGATGAAGATGGTGAGCACCATAGTCATCAGGATGGCGTACTAGCGGGAGGGGGGGCATGAGCACACTGCCCCCGTTCCACCCATGCTCCACCAGGGTACAATGGCTACGGGCACAGGCTCTGGAAACAGCCAGCCTGAGTTCTAGCTCCCCCACTTTCTAGCCGGTAGGACTTTTTGGTCCCCCACTGGACCTCTCTCATCTTTAGTTTGCGTGTCTAATTAAAAGAAACAAGGCCAGTGCTCAATACAGGGCCTGGCACATGGTAAGCACATAAAAGAAAGCCAACAGACATGAGCACATGAGGTCTCTCCTCTCTGAATTCTGTCAGGGGCACGCCTCCCCGGTGTCTCTCCAGCTAACTCCCTCCTGCTCAGTAAGAGTTAGCCCCCCTGAGCATCCAGGCCAGGGCTCCTCCTCTGTACCACCCCTCTGTGTCTTCCCCAATTACTCAGCAGTGAGCCTGTGGGCCAGGGCTGGCCACCAAAGAGGTGCCCAATTAAGAACTTGTTGGGTTATTCAAGGCACACAGTGTCACTTCAGGTTTGTTCCTTTGGCCTCCCAAGACAGTTTTACCTCAAAGCCAAACACCAGCTGCACAGAGGCCCCACGGGTCAGGATGCTGTGATAGGCGTGGCTGACGAAGAGGAAGTCCAGGATACCCAAAAGGAACATGAGCGCTGTGGGGAGCCCCCCGAGTGGGGGCAGGGGGTAGGATCAGCTCAGGGTCTAACAGTCATTGCTTACTCTAAGACAGTCCCCACCCCAAGTCTACCGCCGGACCCTACAATGGTGGTCACACTCCACCAAACTCAGCCCCTTGAGAACTCCAGTTCTGCCTGAGGGCAGCCCAAGCTCCAGGTGAGCAGAGCTGAGAGCCCAGGCAGTTGAGAAGCCCTGGAGTGGAACAGGGCAGAGGCATGCAAAGTAACGTCCCAAATTATCCTTCCTGTACAGCTGTGGGCCCAGGGGACAGCCTGTGTTTTGGGGTACAGGCCCACAGTTCGTGACTTCTCCCAGCCTAATTCTCCATGCATGTGCCCTCCTCCCTGCAGCCCCCTCCCCTCACTTCCTGAGAATCTCACTCACAGACAATTCGGCAGTGAAAGAGCCAGGAGATGTTGGGACTGCGTTCCATCTGAGGCAGAGCAAAGGGGCCTGTCAGGGAAGCTGGGGTTCATGGCACCTCCCTATGCCAGCCATCCCACAAACACTCCCTGGTTTCTCTCTGGTCCAGAGCTGCCCTTAACCAGACTCACAAAGTCCACGCGGTCCTCAGCCAACCAGTGGAAACACTTGAGAAAGAGGAGGAGAGTGAAGAGCGCAACAAAGCGGGGGCTGAAGTCGTCCCGGAAGACAGTGAAGGCCAGACAAGTCTCAGTGACGGCGTACCAGGATCTCTCCAGGAGGTGCTGGGGCCGAGGCAGGGAATGCTGTGGGACCAATGTTCCGCCTGCCCAGCCACTCCCTGCCCCTCACCTTTGGGGGTGTCACCAGCTTACCTCCATCTCTGCCGCTCTTAGCTGCCCAAAGAACACCTTGCCCATCACTTTGCCCAAAAGGAAGACAAGGACAAAGGCCTGGATGTACAGGACCTAGGGGTGGGGAAAGGCTCTGGTTTGAAGCCACTTTCTGCTTTCCACTGCTTGGAGCTCTGTACTCAGGAACTCCCCCACTACCCCATCACCATTTACTCAACAAAGTTCAACAGCTGGTGGCTACTTTCTCCCTCTCCCGCTTACCTGCCCTCAAGCCCCTCCCCATCCCAGGCCGGCTCCTCCCCTCCGGGTGCTAGAACTCACGGCCATGCTGGGGCTGGACTTGGTCAAGTACACCACCGTGGGGTAAAACTGGTGCTTGAGGTAGTAGGCATGAGCCACCACGGCCCCGGTCAGGGCCAGGCTGGCGGCCATCATGACTGCGGTGCGGAACATTGCCCTGGCCCGGAGACCTAGGTGGGGGGCAAGGCGGGCAGGTAACTTAGATGACAGCCACAGAGCGCCAGCCAGGTACAGTAGCTGGCACACATGTTAACATGAAGGAGAAAGATACATTTCCTTTCATCCGCCCACATAGGACTAGCATACGCTGCCCAGTCCCCCGAAGCGACACTGGTGACTGGCAAGGGTTAAGTGATCGTACTGACGCAAGGACTGGCACCTGGGCCAGTCTAGTTTCAAATCAAGGGCTCTTTCCACGCCTCCTGCCAAGTCGCCTCCTTTGGGGCGCCGATGAGGAAAGGCCGCCGCGCTCAAGGAGGAGGAAACTGCCGGCGCTGACCCTCAAGCGAAGGGGCTGGAGAGGGAGGCGGAAACGCGGGGTACCGGGAAGGAGACGCAGGCCGGCCGGCCGGCAGCGGCACCAGTGACAGCTCCGCCAGGGTGGGCAGCTCGGACGAGCGTCCCGCAAGTGGGCGGGGTATATCAGCCTGGAACCCTGGCTTCGCCACCAACCCAGGGGCAGTGTCAACTCGGGCACCCAAGAAACGGCCGCCGGAAAGTGTGCTGTGGCTGGACTGCGGGAGACGCGGGACGGAGTTGCGAGACGCGCGAGCTGGGGCCCAGCCTTCGGAGAGCGGCTGCACCAGCTCCTGAGGTCTACAGCCAGCTGACTGGCCGAAAGCGGGCGGTGGGTCCAGTGAGGCGAGCTGACCTCAAGGCCTCTCGGGAAAAATCTAGGTCCCAACCCCGGCCGTACTCGAGCTCACTCACCAGCAGCTCTGCGCCGCGAGGCCGCTCAATCCCGCGACTGCGGCGGCCGCTCGGGTTAACAACACTCCCACCCCCTGCGAACCGGAACTCCGAGGGGTGAGACACCTCACTTCCGGCGGCGCGGGGCGCGGCGTGGGTCATACCAAGTGCACCCTCCCTTGTCTACTCCGCGCATTCTTCATGATGTCTGGAGCAAGAGTCTCCTCACCGTAGCTGGTGTTCTTGTGTGTGGGAGAGGGCTGAGCAAGAGATGCGAGAGGTGGTCGGGCAAGCCAGGAGTTGGGAGTCCCCCTATTTATTACTCACAGATGGTATCGTCTCTGCCTCTGCGAGTGGACTTAACCTAGTGGAGGACTCCCTCGCTCTTAGCAGAGGGATAGGGCCGTACCACTTGAAGGGGGGAGTGTGCACACGCTGGGCTTTACTTGGCGAAGAGAAAGAAAATGTTATAGAGCCTTCTTCCAGACAGATTCCTAGCAGTTTGATTAACAAGGTGCTATCCGGTGTAACGGTGCAGAAAACAAAAATTTTCTCCCCCATGTTCCCCCCAAGTTGTGTGGGAATGAGTAGGGTCCCCGTGGCTGCTATTGATTGGTAACAATAGAGTTACGCGGACCAATAAGAAAAAGAAAGAAAATCTGCTGGCCTATAGGAAGAGAAAAGCAGGTGAGAGGTTGCTAGCGGCGGAAGGCAGCGATTCATCAGAGCTGGTAAGGGATAAGAAGAGCGCTTTCCTTGGGCTGGTGACGTTTATCCGGCCTAGGGGAACGTTTGCTGCGCTTCGATAGGGAAGGAACAGAACAGTTCCTGTGGTAGGAACTGAGGAGCAACCAACCTTTAATTCCGGCTAATGAGGCACAAAGGAGTTCCTTGGAAACCCTGAGCTCTTCGGAAACCCGGTACAAGGTCACTATGAGTCGGAACCGACTCCACGGTACTTTACAACAACAACAACAACAACAATCAGGCACAGGATTGTCCTTTTCCCTCCTCGTGCCTACAGCTTTGCTTTGCCCAAAGGGTCCTGGTGGAAGCAGTGAATAAGTGAAAAGGTCAGCGGTTTGAACCCATCAGTAGCTCCTCGAGAAGATGGGCAGTCGGCCTCTGTAAATACAACCTTGTAAACCCTCTGGGGGCAAATACTGCTCTCTTCTGTAGGGTCGCTATTAGTGGGAATCAGCTTCCGCCAAGGGCTTGGGTTTGTATTATTCGGTGCTGGGCTGCGGAGTATTTCAATTTAGGTTTGAATTACAGCCAGCTTTGTCGACTCATTGACAGAATGGAGCTAATACACCCACTTGGTGCCTTACGTTTTCCTCATTACCTCATATCGTTTCCAACCATCAAAGTCCTATGAATTAGGTAGCTCCATGCGATAAGCAGTGGAGTCCTGGTGTGGCGCTATAGGATAAGCACTGGGCTTAAAAATCAGTTTGAGCTGCAAGGTCAGAGGTTCACACTCACCTGGCGCACCTTAAAAATCCTACTCAAGGGTTGCTATGAGTCGAAACTGATTCGACTGCATTTAAAACCAACAGTAGGATAAGCACTGGGCTGAGAACCCTAAGGTCCGCAGTTTGAGCCAGCTGCTCTGCAGAAGAAAAATGAGACATTCTGTTCCCCCAAATATTTAAAAGCCTCGGAAACCCCTATACAGGCTCGCTATGAGTGGAAACACTTGACAATAACAACGTGGGACAATTGAGGTTCAGAAACTTAAGTTTCTAAATTTAACAAAACCTGTCATAGGATCGGTACCTGGTTGTTACGACTGGATACCCTCATGCTATTGGTCTCAACCATCTTCACCACACTGCCTTTTGGGACCTCCGTCCCCCCAATAAGCCCATTTATGGCTTTGTTGTTAAGTACCATGGAGTCAGTTCTGACTCATAACAACCCTGTACAGGGTTTCCGAGGCTATAAATCCTTACGGGAGCAGAGCACCTCATCATTCTCCCGTGGAACGGCTGCTAGTTTTGAACTGCCAACCTTGAGGTTAGCCCAATTCGTAACCACTATGCTACCAGAGCTCCTTTTGCCTTACTAGTGAGTAAATCCAGTCCTGGCCTGCCTCGGCCCCTCTCCCCTTTTGAAAATCTCTTCCGTGAGCTCCTGCAACACTACATGCCCTTGCTTTTTCTCTTTGCTTTCTGACTATCTGGTATCTTCTTCTGCCCATCCTTTTATTTAAATGATGGTTTCCACTTGGGCCCCTTCTCTTCACTTTCCCTGCGTGATCTCTGCTCCTGTGAATTGAACTTCCCCAGATACTAATGACTCCTTTGTCTGGTCTTCACTTGGGGTCAATCCTGCTTCTAAACAATTCAAAACTGGTGATTAACTAATGCATTCAACTTGCCTACAATTATTTATAAGGCGGCATATGTTCTAGGACTTAGGATGTGTCAGTGAACGAAACAAAGATTTCTGTCCTGGAAGAATGTTCATCCTGATAGATGTTACAGACAATAAACAATATGTACAATACAAGTGGACTATCTAATATGTAATAGGAATGCATCTTAATTACGTATTTTCATCATCTCATATGCATGTGAAAGTTGGGCAATGAATAAGGAAGACTAGGGAAGAATTGATGCCTTTGAATTCTGGTGTTGGCAAAGAATATTTAAAGTACCCTGGACTACTAGAAGAACAAGTACAGCAAATATGTTCCTTAAAAGCCAGGATGGCGAGACTTTGTATTTTGGTCATGTCAACAGGAACCAGTACCTGGAGAAAGACATCATACTTGGTAAAGTGGAGGGTCAGGGACAAAGAGGAAGACTCCTAATTAGATGGAGTGACAAAGTAGAAGCAACAATGGTATCAAACATAAAAATAATTGTGAAGCTGGCATGGGACCAGGTGGGGTTTTTTGTTCTGTTATGCATAGGATCGATCTGAGTCAGAACCGAACCAATGGCACCTGACAGCATCTAATATGTTGGAAGGTAATAAGGAAAAAGCAGATCAGAATAAAGGGGATCAGGAGTGTGGGGTGGTAGCATGGTCCAGGTTGAAGTATCAGTGAGGTTATGACTCATTGAGAAAGTGACATTTGAACAAATACTCGAAGAAGGTGAGGATATGAGCCAAGTGGATGTCTAGGAGAAGAGGTGGAATAGGGCTGGTTGGTTGGATGAGATGAGTGTGGCTGGAGTGGGACACTGGAGTGAATTATAGGAGTGGGCTGGGGCCAGATTGTATAGGGTCTTATTGGCCATTTTAGAGAATGCCATGAGAAGCCATTGGAGGGTGTTGAGCAGAGGTGTAACAGGGTCTAACTTAGTTTTAAGAGGATCATTCCAAATTCTGTGGTGAAATAGACTATAGGGGGTAGGGCCCCAGGTTGGGAGCAAGGAAGCCAGTTAGGAGGCTTTTGTATTTTGGGCAAGAGATAAAGCCCTGTTGAGTCTACCTCTTGATTCTCTTTAGACTTTCATCCCTTCCTTTCCGTCTTCACTGTACTGTCCTAGTCCAAACCACCATCATCTCAGGCCTAGGCAAATGTGATCGCCACCTAGCTATTCCCCTTTCCTAGTCTCTCCTCCTACTTGATTATCCTCCACACACTGGCCAGAAAGATCCTCCAACACCTCAGCACATTCCGGTCTCTCCTCCACATGCTGCCCTGCAGACATATTGACCAGCTTGTAGGGACCCTAGATGTACAGTACAGTCCATCCCCCAAACAGGCCCCTCGAGTTTTGAATAGTACTCTCTCCTCCCAGAAATGTCTCGTTCCTCAAGTATCATCCCAGGACGCATTCTCTAAGTCTTCAGACTGGATAGGACTTTCTTCTGTGTGTTCTCCCAGTGCTCTGTGCTTCTCCATCATGGCTCTTAGCATCCTGTGTTGACCTTGCCTGGGGATGTAAATCTTTCTGCATAGGCTCTGATAAGCTCGAGGACAGGGGCTGAGTCTCCTTTCCTACACCTGGTCCCTGGCCACCTACTAGATTTCAATGCTCATATTTACTGAAGCTGCGAACCTTAAGGTCAGCAGTTCGAAACTACCAGTTTTTTTGTGGGAAAAAGATGAGGCTTTCTGCTCCCGTAAATATGTATAGCCTCGGAAACCCTGTACAGGGTCACTATGAGTCGGAACAGACTCCACGGCACATCGCCACCACATAGTCTTTGATCTTCATCAGTAAGCACTTTGAGTTCTCCTCACTTTCAGGAAGTAAGATAGCATCTGTATAGCACAGGTTGTT